AATGGCGCAATTGAAGCATTCTATTATATAAATGTATTCATTTTCAAGATCGTTGATACAGTTGTAATGAGAAATAATATTTTCATATCATGAAATAATTTACTAATAATTATTAAATTGATATATATATATATATATATATATATATAAATATTCTGAAATATTGTGAATTACAATGATTTTTCTATATAATGATATATGCAAATCACGATATTATAGAAAATGTATAGATAAATTTGTATATTATTAGTAAATTATATTACTTTATGGCGTACGCATAAATATTTATAAAATGAAGTTTTCATGTTTCATATTCATATTTATTGTCTACATTAAGTATATTTAATTATTATTAATTTTTCGGATTATTAAGAAGCTGTAAAATGTTATTCAAAAATTTCCACAAAAATAAATGCTGCCAAAACTGGATGATTCGAGATAAACCATCATCTGATAATCGATTATTAATTTTGCGTCAGTAATCTATTATCAGATTGAACGTTACATTATAAGGTAATTTTTATATTTATTTGAAAAATATTGCATTCTTAAGATTTATCAAATTTATCATTGGCTATCACATGTGTATTAAGTGACATATATTAAAATAAATAAAATCTAACGTTGTAATCAAATAACAGTTTAGGTACATTTATACTTGCCACAATAAAAATTATGAATGGACTAAAGATTTCTTAAATATTGAATAAATTAATTTATATTCAAATGTCCACAGTACGCAAAAAATAAATATCGTATAACAGATTGAAATTATAAATTGTCGGTAATATTAGACGAACCAAAATTATGGTATCAAGACACATTTATTATAGAGATTATTAATATAGATTATTAACCTGAACTGATTTTATTCAAGTAGAGTTATTCTGAAGAGATCGAGAAAATTTTAATAATGTTATTAAATAACTTCAATTATTTATAGTAATAATATTATAAAGTATTAGAAACAATAAAAAATTAATTACAAAAAAAACTAGTGGTGTATGCCATCGTGCTTTAAGTCAAATTTCCTGTACCAAAAATTAATTTTTTCAAAGATTTTTTTGTCTTATATTTTGAAATATTTTAGAAATTTTCCCACATAAAAGTAACCACAATTTATTTATTTAAATAAATAACAAACAAACAAACAATAAACTTTTTTACTCGATCTTCAAAACTGCTAGAACTGTCTTTCCAAAAATTTTATCAGAACCTCATTTTGTCAATACAAGTAAAATGTTTTTTGAATTATGGAAATCGGATATTCCGTTCTCTTAAAAACTGAATTATTATTTTTGGCACTTTTTGACTCGTATTTTCGAAAGAGCTGGACCTGCCTTGTCGAGAAACAAATTAGCACGTCTACTTATCAATAGGTATCCAATGTTTTTTGAATCATTCATATCGGTTAAAGCGTGTTCCCGAAATTGTTGACGAAATTTGTATCCGAACAAAGAAACACACACGCACACACGCACAAATATCTATTTCCTATAAGGTATGCCAAAATGTTCAGAAACCTCTGAAACGTCAAGATATATAAAAATGTTCATTTTCAATTTTTTTGCGATTACTAAAACTTACCCTGCGGGAAGTTAATAATGTAATTAAAATCATACTTTAAATATGACATGATCGGTTTGTCATTGTAATTAGCATTTAGAAATGAACCTTCATTAGAGAAATGAAGTAATTGCTGATTAATAAATTCTATAACATTCGTTTTCACAGTGAATTATGTTTGACAACGCCTAAAAAATATTGTTTTCGTAACTTCATTCGTCATGTAATTGTGTTTGAAAAACTTCATGTAATTAAAATTAATATACATTCATTGAATGCTTATATTTTTTTACTGTTTCGATGGCGATATAATCTCATTCTTTGAACTGCTCTAACATCTGTTTTGCCAAAAAAATATTTTCCATTTTAATAACTTCAAAGATTTATAGGAACTACAAATAATGTAGAAATAATTTCTAATCAATAAACTTACGCCAAGGAACAGGCTAAAATATTCTTCTGATTCAGGCATTTTTTATTAAATCTAGATTTGTACTACGATGGAACTTTAAAATCTTTACTTATCTATGCCGATTTTCTTGTTGATATCGGTACGCATACAACGTTGATGCCGGTACGCATACAACGACATCTCTATTCACATGCACGACGACTAATCACAATCGACCCGTATAGAAATGATATCATCGAGAGCAAATTATTGGCACTCGACTCGGCCGTAACGCACTTCCGTTGCATTTGTACGGATTTACACCCTAGTCGGGCCTAGAAAAGTTTTACTTGAAAAATTTGTCTTGAAAAATAACTATAACTTATGTTCAGACTACTTTATTATATAAAATATTATAAATAAAATATTATAAATAACGATCAAAAATATTCTAAGTTTTATACAGATTTAAGTTCGACCTATAAAAATTCTTATCGTCAATAACAATTTTTTCAATTTTGCAAATATGGTACAGTACGATAAAAATGAAAAAAAAAACATCTGTTTCAACTTTTTGCTAACACCAAGCATAATTTATATGAAGTGATTTATTCCAAAAGTGATAACTATCACTTACAATTATTACAAACCGAAAAACTTGAAAAAAAAACATGCCACGCTGATTTGAGAACCTGATTAGATGCGCCTGATTAGGATCAGAAATTAGTGTTTGTATTCAATATTATGACAATCGCATTGATTTTGAATAGACTCTGATTATGAACAATGCCCAAACCGCGACGAATTTTCAGGACACCTAAAATTTTAGTTGTATTTATTATGGGCCCATAGATAATTTAGTTTTGGCTTTGAAATACAAAGCGAGAAACTGTTAGAAAAGTTGGAGATGGAAATCACATATTATATTTATATACATCATATACTAAAATGCAACTATCTACAGTCACTATACAATGTAAGTTGAGCAAATAGATTTTTCTATGAATTTCTAAAATATTTCATATCAAATGATAACAAGCTGTTTCATTATTGCATTTGTTTTATAATGATAAAATAAACGTAATTTTCAGAACAGATAAAAGATAAGTGATAATTATTTACAAATCACATACGATATGGTTATTGAACGATAAAACAAGAAATATTTTGATTTTGACCTAATTGTTGTGAATCAATTGTTTATGGATATTATTGATATCGATGAATTACATAGAAATTATATAACATAAAATATTATACATATTTTTATAAAATGTTATAAAAAAAATATGCGATTATGATCTTTTGATTAGCTTTTGCTAATAATCCAATTAAATTAAACTAGTGTGTATGGCATCGTGCCTTAAGGCAAATTGCTCGAACTTCCCGTACCAAATATTAAAATTTTGAAAAAACATTGAACATTTTTTGAAAACTTCAAAGAAAAAGTTTTTTGAAAAATTTGTTTTATTTTTATATTTCGAAATTTTTGTATTTGAATTTTTCTGAAAATTTTGCTTTGAAATTGTTCCTTTTTTTTAAAGGAATTGTGCGGCATGGCTGTTTTAGAGAAGAAATATCAAGGCGCGTAAGCGCCGCATCGCAGTTTTTTCCGAAATCGTCGATGAAAATTTGTATCCGCACACATACACATACACACATACATGCACACACACATACATAATTTTTCTCTATGGTATGCCAAAATAATTTAGTTTTACCGTTAAGAATTGAATAGTTTTTTTTTATTTTGTGTTATGTATTTTCATGATGTAATTTATATTATGTTATAGACATAACAGTCATAACAATCATATATTAGTATATTAGTAGTATTATAATATGTATTATTAAAATTGTATTTTTAAGTCTTCCTGGAGCTACTCTATGGGCTATATGATAAATAAATAAATGAATAAATAAATAAATAAAATTTTCAAAAGACGTTAAAACGTAATGATATTCCAAAAAATAAATTTTCGATTTTTTGCGATTACTATAAATTACCCTATATGAAATTAAGTTAGAATTAATATTAATTACAATATGTATCAAATCATTCAAATCGGTTCATTGTATCCAAACACACACACGCATACATCAATTTTTTTTATGTATGCCAAAATGTTCAGAAACCTTTGAAACGTAAAGATATATAAAATTTTCATTTTTATTACGGGTAGTTAATAACAAAATATTTTAAAGAAAATTGTATTCATAGTCAACATTTATATTATATATTTATATTGTATAATCATACATAGTCAAAATTTATATTAAAAATGATAATTTGCTATACATATTTTAAATATTAATTTTTGACCAACTAAAACCTCGGATTACGCGCTTATATTTTCTATGATAAGGCCAAAATAATTAAATTTTGAAACATAAAAATCCGAAAAAAATTTACTCTAATGTTACAGATAGAACATTCATATATTTTTTTATTTTTTTACATTTCGACCAGGTTTTATAAAAAAGAATATATTATAAAAGCATAAGATCCAATCTTATGTCCAATATCTTCAAATCCTATGTCTCATTTGAACCTTGCCTTTGAAAATTGATATAAAATAGTTTTCTTAATTAATTCTTGATCAATGCGGCATTTTCTTGTAAACAATTATTAATAAATTTTGTTCTGGTGAACTATTTTATTTGGAAGATATTGGTTACCGATCCCAAAATATGATTGATCAGAACTGAAATTTGGATTAAACTAGAGAAAACTCTTAGAGCAGTATGTTCAATTTTTTGCTCGACATTTAGTTAAGTTATTTACAATTAAGAAATGCAAGTAATTGCCTACTACCCATCTTCCTCTAAACATACACTTGAATCATGATTCGAATCTGAAATGATAAATCTCTGATGATATCTTCATTGATAAAACTGGATTCAAAATGTATATATACAAGCAGAAGTACTGAAAATCATATCGTACCTGATAGATTCACAAAGAAAAGGTAGTGGAAAAATTTGTTGTGCACTTTTTGATGGTTTTAATAAAAAACTCTATTATTTTTTTTTTAAATTTCAGATGTGGTTTGTAGGCATTTTGTTATTAGGAGCACTTGCTCCAAGTCTGGCTTTAGAAAATGGCTTGGCTAGGACACCTCCAATGGGCTGGTTGGCTTGGGAAAGATTCAGATGTAATACCGATTGCGAAAATGATCCAGATAACTGTATCAGGTATGAAAAAGATAATTTTATCAATTATTTGTAAAAAATCCATAAGAAGTATCCAGGTATACAAATTGGCCCTGAAGGCAGTGAGCTGTAAACTCAAGAGAGTTATTTCCATTTCGCAGTAGTTCCAATATTTATAAGTAGATATTTCATTAATTTTTTTTTTAAATTTGTTTTAGCGAGCGTCTGTTCAAAAGACAGGCAGAAATGATGGTATCCGAAGGATATGCTGATTTTGGATACGAATATATCATCATCGATGATTGTTGGTCAGAAAAAGAACGTGAACCAAATGGTGAACTTCTTGCTGACAAGAAGCGATTCCCCAGTGGAATTGGAAATTTGTCAGATTATGTAAGTAGTGTCCAAATAAATAAAAAATAATTTAATAATCATAGAAGTACTTCCATTTCAATTCTAGAAAGCAAAATACTTCAAGTTTTAGGATGTTTTGATTGTTGTTTACTTGTACTGTTTATTAATACTGCAACCAAAAATATTATTATTGGATATGTCCATTAGGGTGGTTCCCAAGAGCTCAAATGGTTCCAAATTGAAAAAAAACTAATCTCTCAAAGTTTTAGCTCTGTATATTGTCTTTTAGACAGTGCACAATTCAATCAAAATTTTGTATGGAAATAGCATAAAAAATTCAAAAATTTTAAAAATCTTTTTAGATATAATTTAGCGAACAAATGAGTGAGTTTCATTCAAAATTTGTCGCTAAGTTATACCTAACATTTTTTTTTTAAATCTCAAATTTTGTTCATGCTATTTCCATACGAAGTTTGATTGAATTGCGCACTATCTAAAAGCTAATATTAAGAGCTAAAACTTTCAGAGAATTGTTTTCTATCAATTTGAAATCATTTGAGCCCTTGGGAGCAAGAAAATTCGAAAATGTCCATATTAAGAACCACCCTAATGTCCATATCAGCTCCTGTACTGAATACAAACTATACAATGAACTTGATCTTCAGTAACAAATTGTCTTTTTAGGTACACTCATTGGGACTTAAGTTCGGTATTTACCAGGATTATGGAACAAAAACTTGTGCTGGATATCCTGGATTGATCGATCACATGAAAATAGGTATCATGTATTGACTATTATTATAAACTTTTAATTACTTCTAAGTACATAACATGACAAATGCAAAAAAAACTATACAAGTCCTAATTAGATTTTTATATAAATCGGTGATTGAAAAATTGCAAATATTAAATTTGTTACCAATGTGAATATTTTCAGATGCTGATACATATGCAAAATGGAAGATCGACTACGTCAAATTAGATGGATGCAATTCCTCGCCATCAGATATGGACAAAGGTTATCCTGAGTTTGGAAAACATTTAAATGCAACCGGCAGAAAAATGGTCTACTCTTGCAGTTGGCCAGTATACCAATCATTGAATGGAATCAAGGTAAAAAATTTACAAAAAATAAAAGGAATAAATTTATATAAAAATGTTTATTGTCTTGTAGCCAAACTTTACATTAATCGCTGAAAATTGTAACTTGTGGAGAAATTGGTACGATATTCAAGACAGCTGGAGTTCCGTATCAACAATTGTCGATTACTTTGGAGGTAATCCAGACAACCTTGTTGCTAACGCTGGACCTGGTCATTGGAACGATCCTGATATGGTGTGTGCCCTTATTTGATAAATACTTAAATTGCAAAATTATTTACATTTACTTTTTTAGTTGATCATTGGTAACTACGGATTAAGTTTTGAACAAAGTAAAACCCAAATGGCATTATGGGCAATTATGGCTGCACCTTTGCTAATGTCTCATGATATGAGAGATACCAGTGCTGAAGCTAAAGCTATTTTGCAAAATGCTCAAGTTATTGCCGTCAATCAAGATCCTTTAGGAATCCAAGGAAATAAAATCTCTAATGTAAGATTCATCTGTTGCTTTCTCTTAAAATAAATTATATTGCATTGAATATATTTGTGTGATATTTTAGAGTAGTAAAATTGAAATCTGGACAAGACCCATTACACCAGTGGAAAAAGAATTTTATTCATATGCCATTGCATTTACAAGTCGTAGAGATGATGGTACACCATTCAAAGTGACAACGACTCTTAAAGAATTAGGTCTGAGTGCACCAGGAGGTTACCACGTTAAGGTAATGATAATTTATTTACAATTATTGAAATCTAAATTATAGAAAAAATTAAATAACCAATGAAAAACATTTCTTTTTCAATTTTTGTCTAAAATTCTCTGATTTTTTCCTATAAATTTTGACTAGAAGCAAAGAACCTCGTACAATTTTGGGCTTTAAAATTTATTTTTCTCATAAAATGTTTTATAGGTTTCTTGGATTTGAAAAATTTAGAAGCATGTTATAATGTGATTTATATTTACAACATACTAAAACTTGTATATAAAATCACTTGTTGATTGAAACGAGAAAAAATCAAATAAACGTAATTTACTCTATATATCTAGTATAGTACTTGTATAAGATTTCCCTTATGTGAAATATATACATATATATATATATATATATATATATATATATATATATATATATAATGTAGAATTTTTAAATATTAAATACTATTAAATAATATTTTTTTTTTTTTTATTTTAGGACTTATTCGATAAAACAAACTATGGAGTTTTGCACTCAGAAGACAAAATTGAAGTTCACGTTAACCCATTAGGTTAGTACAAACTTTTCTCTAATAAATTAAATATTTTTATTTTTTCATACAAAATCATATTTTTATCTCCTCTAATTATTCATATTTATTTATTTATTCAAATTTAATATTTTTGTCTGTTTCTATTTCAGGTGTTGTATTCTTGAGAGCAAATGTACTACAATAAAATCGATCTAAATAAAATATTTTTATACTGTGTGATTTATAATGACCTATATTATTATGTAATAAAAAGTTATTGTTTGTAATATAAATATTTCATTTGTATCTACTTCTATACATTTTTTAATTGTTTTTAATAATAGAGATGATTGGATTGAATTTAGTAATAGAGATGATGAATTATAAGAGTAACATGATTAACAGATAAACAGATTTTATAAAGACTTGACAAGAGCCTGAAATAATATCTATTATTATTGATTACGGCTTGCTTATGAATAAATAAAAATAAAAATTAATAAATAAAGTAAATTTTAAACCAAGTTTTTGTAACATATCAGCTCCATGCACCTACTATTTTTGGGGTAATGCCAAAATTTTATATACTATTTTGATATATTTTTGATAGAAATTGAAATGTAAAATCATAAAAGTCTACTTAAGTTGAAAAATGTATCACAAAAACCGGTACAATTTTTGCGCAATTAAATATTATTTACAATCGTTACCATGAAAATAATTCTAGTAATAAAATAATAATAAGGAGTGTAGTATCTTGAGGAGTCAATGCTAATAAAAAGCTTAAAAATAAATTTTTAAAACAAAATTGCAAATTCTACTTAAGAAATGATGCATTTTATTTTATTCTTATAAATTTTACTAAAAGTCTCAAAAAATTCCATATATTAGTAGTCATTATCGTTAGGTAATCAAAAATAAAGTTGTTTATTTAATGACAATAAGATGTAAAAATATTTTAGTATCATTTTTTCAATAATAGTAACAAAAACATATTTTAACAATTTTTCACAGATGTAAAAATATAATTTAAATAAAAATATATGTGTCATATATAATCAAATAATAGGTATAATTTGATTATAATTTATATATATTTGAGTATAATTCGATTATATAATTCATATAATCAAATATCATTTTTATGCATCAGATAAAAAAAAATCACGCATAAACTTCATGTTTCGATACTATTTTGTTGGACTTAGTATAAAAGTTGTATTGTTTGGGTTAAAAAATTCATAATCAATAAATTATCAATTATCAATTAACCTAAAATTAATTATCAATTACGATCAAAATATTATTAATATGTTGATGATGTTATCGGTATGTTATTAGTGGTATTTCCAATTCAAGATTAGAACTTGTTTGATTATTGATCTGGATTTATCTATTAATATCTTTATTATTGAGATATTATATAACATTTTAATATAATATATATATATATATATATATATATATTATATATTATTATTATCAATAGAAATTATATACATTATTTACACTAACTCTTAAATCATCCAGAGTCTACAATACGAATCTACTATCCAACAATTTTCCTTATCGATACTGATTTTTGTACAAATGTGTTTTGGCGGAAAATCAGGTTTTCTTAATTTATTAATTATTTTATTTATCGAGAAGCTAGCCAGGATCTACTAAAAAAGAATAATATTTCAGACTCTTAACAAATGGAATATTTAAAATTTATCTATTTATGAATAAGATAACAAATAAAATGATCATCAAATTTTATTGCATTATAGCAACTGATATTTCAGGTGATAAAAACATTGATAAAAATCGTATACTACTTATTACCAAGAGTTCCAAAATAGATGAAGTCAGTAGATGTGACGCTTTATCGGAAGAAACAAGTCAATAACAAAGGTAATTTTTGAAAACTATTTATATAATTATACTTTTTATTTAGTTAAATGTTTTGTTATCAAAGCAATGTGGTTTGTTGGGGTATTACTATTAGGAGCATTAGTTCCAACTTTTGCATTAGAAAATGGGTTAGCCAGGACACCACCAATGGGTTGGATGACTTGGCAGAGATTCAGATGCAATATTGATTGCGAAAATGATCCTGATAATTGCATTAGGTAAGTCTTATTTTTCTAAAACATGTTATCTTTCACAAAATGAAAATCAAAAATTTTGAAAGATAAGAATGCAAACGTATTTAATAGCTGTGCTTATTTTTCATTGGACCAATATGATACTGTTCCTTTAATAATAATTTTATGTAGTTGAATAAAAATGGTACAATTATTACGAGTGAAAATTCTTTTCACTATTTATATAAATAAGGTATCTTTTTTAGAAGAAAAAGTATTTTATGATAGACTTGTTAATTATCTCTGACTGGTCACACTTCGTAGAAAAAAGATATTTTTTGAAGAAATTAACATTTTATTATCGACTTATTATTTGATCTAATTGGATTGATATTATTTTAGAGAAAATTCTGTAGTTTTGAATATTTTCTAGGAATATAATAACAGGTTTATATGCCAATTTTTGGCAGTTTTTTGTATCAATATAATCTTCAGCTTTCAGTCATCTTTAGTCAATAATTATCGAAAATTCAAAAAAAATACTTAAATGCATTTCTTTCAAGATAATGTTGTCTACGATTACATGCTCATATTTACATATATAAAAAATGTCGAAAATTTATTGAATTCTTTTCTACTTAAGTGAGAATTTAATTAAGAAAATGGCTGATAAGATGGCATCGGAAGGATATTTGGAAGCAGGATACCAATATATCGTCATCGACGATTGTTGGTCAGAAAAACAAAGGGAACCAAATGGTGAACTCCTTGCTGACAAGAAAAGATTTCCAAGTGGCATGGGAAATTTATCAGATTATGTGAGTTAAATTGTCAAGATAAAAATATATGTGACAGTAGAAATACTAACGACTATTTTTTTCGGTAGGTCCATTCATTAGGATTGAAATTTGGTATCTATCAAGATTATGGTACACACACATGTGCTGGTTATCCTGGTATTTTTGGCCACATGAAGATAGGTATGATAATTTGAACAACTACAAGGGTTTTTTCGAATTTAATATCCGCTTTCAATTGAAAAATATAAATTTAAATATGATTTCAAGTTAAATTAGCCTTTGGGGGCATTGCTGCAACGGATTAAAAAATATATCGCAATTAGAAAATACTATCGGGTTGTCATCCATAAAAGCGTTTGCAAATGTAAACTTATATTTATTCTAAATAATGATCTATCATATTCAGATGCTGAGACATTTGCAAAATGGAAAGTCGACTACGTCAAATTAGATGGATGCAATTCAAATCCAGCAGATATGGACACCGGTTATCCTGAATTTGGAAGGTATTTGAAAGAAACTGGTAGAAACATGTTTTTTGCATGCGGTTGGCCACTATTCCAAACTGTTGGAGAAGTACCGGTAAATAATAGGAAAAAAACTTAATTTTATTTTTTATATATCAAAATATATTATATTATCGTATAATCTTTCTGCAAAATATTTAGCGAAACTACTCTCTAATTTCGGAGCATTGTAATTCGTGGAGAAATTGGCATGATATTCAAGATAGTTGGGGTTCAGTACAATTTATTGTTAATTATTATGAAAAAAATCCAGATAACATTATTGACTTTGCTGGACCTGGTCATTGGAACGATCCTGACATGGTAACTATGTGAACTAAAATATTTTATTTATGTTGAAAAATTAATCCTTAATTATTTTTTCAGTTGGTCATCGGAAACTTTGGATTAAGTTTTGAGCAAAGTAAAACCCAAATGGCTTTATGGGCAATTATGGCAGCACCTTTAATCATGTCCAACGATTTAAGACATATTAGTGATGAATCTAAAGCTATTTTGCAGAATGCCAGAGTCATTAAAATAAATCAAGATCCTTTAGGAAAGCAAGGAAAGCAAATCTTTAGTGTATGTCTTCATTCATACAGGCATCATAACTTCAAAGCAATGTGTTTTTAAATTTTATTAATTTTCTAGGAAAATAATGTTGAAATTTGGACTAGACCAATCACACCAGTTGAAAATGAATTTTATTCTTATGCTATTGCTTTTGCAAATGGACGTGATGATGGAACGCCTTATAAAGTAACAAGAACTCTCAAAGAATTAGGTTTGGTAGCACCAGCTGGATATCATGTAGAGGTATTTATTTAAAAATTAATTTATACAAGCCCAAGAGCGTATGCACTGCCAAATGTAAGGATAATTGTTTACAAATTGTTTTAAAAATCTACATGTTTACTCAAATATTTTCATTGCTAAATCATTAACTAATGTCACCTTTGTTCGCATTTTGGTCATGTAAAATACACTGCAATATGAAAGCATAATTGCTTACAAATTGTTTTACAAACAAATCTACATATACAAAAGTTTACTCAAATATTTTCATTGCTATAAAAATGAATAAAATCATTAACAAATGTCGCTTATGTTAGCATTTTGGTCATATAAAAAATGCATGTCTTGTAATTATAAAATCATTATCGTGGCCATATATTTGATTCAAAGAAGCTTAAAAAATCAATAAAAGTTTCTCGTTTCTAAAGTCATAAAAAATTAGTTCACAGTCTCATAGGATGATAATATATTTGTATTTATCAATTATAAAACTGCAATAAATTTTTTTTGTTTTGATGAATAAGTAATCATAGAAACAAGGTTTGCTTCAGTAGTGTAATCAAATATTAATTCACAATTTTCAGTGCTTAAATTGTATTAAATTTCTACTAAGGGCATCACAAAAATTTATTCTAAAGTCCAATTTGTTTTATAATTTCAGGATGTATATGACAGAACAAATTATGGACTTTTATATCCAGAAGACAGAATTGAAGTACATATAAATCCTTCAGGTAATATTTTTTTATCTGATATGCCTCTTAACAACATATAACATAATTTTGAAAATTATAGATAACACTTTTTATTTCAGGTGTTGTTTTCCTGAGAGCAAATGTTCAGCAATAAAATTAGAATAATTAAATTAATTATTTGATTGATGAATAGATATTGTTTAAGTTTTTAAAATGAGAAAATAAAATATATAAAACATTTTAAGACCAGTATTATTATGAATAAAAATGAAATATCGAAACAAAGAAATCTCTATTGTGTTACTATTATGTTTTAACATAAAGAAACAATATACAATTATGAATTCAAAATATATAAATAATCGAAGTCAAGAATGAAATAATGTTTAAATATGCACAACAATTATTTTTTTGAGAATTGAAAACGGAAGTCTTTTATTTTACCTATATATTATACATTCAATTTATAAATTTATACATTTGAATTTCAAAATTGTTAAAAAATGAATAAGTTCACTATTCACTGTTATTCTTCGTGTAATATAGAATATTAGTTTAGTAAAATAATTTCAAATATTAATTTTGAAGTTTGTTCTTTTGAAGGGCCACAAAATGTCTCTATAAAATCTATATTACCATGGAGATAGATTACAAAAACAACTTAGTACTTGTATCTATAAATTATGCCCGTGATTAGAAGCCTCAAGCTATAATTATCAACAAAAAACATTTGCATTAAATTATCTACTATATCATGCATCACCTACATCTCTGTAATATTAATTTATTTTTTATAACGACTATAATTTACATTTGAGCATAATAATGTTTTAATCTAAATTCCAATGTGCTTTATCCGTAATCCAAATCTTTTCTTCGACGTTAATGGCTTGTCTTAAAACTCTGTTGAATTACTAGATAACAATCTACTGTAATATTTTAAATTATAACAAGACACAGATTGCTCTAAAATATTAAACAACTACGAAAAAACATATTTTTATGGACGACATGACAAAGTAGAGCAAAGTTTCAGAATGGAAATTTGTATGTACTTATAATTAGTACAAATAAAAACATTTTCCTTTACACGTATACAAATATTTTGAAGAATTTATTTTTGTTAATTTATTAATTACAACATAAAATTCTCAAATAAAAATTGTAACAAGAATATTCTTATGTATCTTTATCTAAAAATGAAGGTAGATTTAGCATCGATTTAATAAATCAATCTATAGTTAAAAATATTTCTCTATGTTCGTAAATGTCTTCTGCATGTCCTACATAAAAATATATGTGCATAATTTAATTTAATAGTATCACAGCTAAACAGCACTGATTTTGACTAGGGTCCTAAGGGAGAAAGATGAAGTATGTTTGTTGGAACAAGTTTCCATCATTGCATTATGTCAGCGCCCTACATTAATATGATCTGCAGACCGCATTGCTTTTAATGAGTTAAAAATAAGTTTTTTTGTTCTATTTGTTTTAATAATAAATTTTACTTGTAAATCGACTATGTATATTTCTTACATTGCTGTAAGTTGAGCTTTAGTAGTTAATGCCAGCACTTAATTTTTGCGTTTATGTGTATTAAAGCCACATTGGTATCAATAAATGCCCATCCGTATTACTGGTTCCATGTTCGTTAACCAACTCGTGCTTAATATCAAGCAGTACTTATCAGATTTTCATATGAGTTTATAGATCTTATAGATATAATTTTCTAATCAAAAATAGCAATTCGGGGCGTTGCTGAAATATTGACATTAAAAAAGAGTCTTATATTATCTTATACGAACATAAAAAGAATAGTACTACCAATGGGTGGAAGAATTACATCACTGCAGTTCATGGAAAATACAGTTCTGATGAGTGCAGTTCAAATATGTAAAAAATGCTCATAAGATGTGCATAAAGTGAAATATATTTTAGAGTTTTAGAATTCCCAAAATTATAAATTTATAGAAAAAATCATATTCTGATATGTTACAAACATGAAAAAGGCAGCTATTTGTCTACAAGTGTGCGCAAACGATTTGAAATGGGTTAATTATACCTTGTTTTGTACACAGAGCACGTTTACGCACTTTGCAGATTAATATAATGATAAACTTCTGAATTAATCTTTAATGTGATCTGGAACATAAAGTCTGTTAACATAACAACCTTGTTGAATGATTTAATATAAAATAATTAAAACTGGCTTAACAAAGTACCGACTTCGTGATAATGTAACAATATTCTTTACAAAAGTAAAGAAGAGTGCGCGTAAAGTTCACACGCGATTGAAGTAAAACTTATTTGCTACTGTACAAGATGGCATTTAAGTAAAAATAAATACATTATATAACAATTTTGAATAATGTTTAGTAGTAATATGGTAACACTAGTGATGCACATATTTATTAGTGTCAACCATTATACACATTTATATAAGGTTGTCAAATATCTCCCTTCCGCCTTTTTGTATTATAAACCAAGAGCAAAAAAGCGGAAGGGAGATATTTGACAACCTAGAATTTAAGGTAAATTATATATTTATAATAGCATTAAAAATATTTATAATATTTAAAAACAATAATGTAATTAAACTCATACTTCAAATATGACATGATCGGTTTGTCATTGTAATTAGCATTTAGAAATAAACCTTTATTAGAGAAATGAAGTAATTGCTGATTAATAAATTCTATAATATTCGTTCACAACAATGGATCATGTTAAACAACACCTAAACAAATATTGTTTTCGCAACTTCACTCATCATGTAAATGTGTTTAAAGAACTTCAAGTAATTAAAATTAACATACATTCATAACAGCAGTAAGCTGGTCTTTTGGTACTTTTTCGCTGGCGATATAATCTCATTCTTTGGACAGCTGTAATATCTGCCTTGCCTAAAAAATATTTTCCATTTTAATAACTTCAAAAATTTATAGAAACTACGAATAATAAAGAAATAATTTCTAATCAATAAACTTACGGCACACATGTTTAATTTTTTTTACTATTTTCAAGGAACAGGGTAAAATATTTTTCTGATTCAGACATTTTTCATTAAATCAAAATTTGTACTACGATATAACTTTAAAATGTTTATTTATCTATGCCTATTTCCTCGTTGATACCTGTACGTATACAACGTTGATGCGAGATTTTTAATTTGACGTAACTTTGCCTGGAAAAAGCTATTTTCACTTAGAAACATATTTCCATCTAAATTTTCACTTTGAACCTAAAACCTCCAAAATATTCCAGAGATTGCATTTATCCATCACTCCAGTTCTATCCTGTGCTTTCTCCATAATAGTTCGGTTGCTAACTATTTGCAAACATGACCACCGTGTTCGAATACTGTCTATATAACAATATAATACATTTCTACCGAATATATTTCGAACTGTCGTTCCTGTCGACAAAACAAGACAATGGTAGGCGATAAATTCAATGGTGACAGAGTTAGAAGCTGACAGACTGCCGATATATAGGTGTCGATGTATCATACTCGAATGTTTAGGGTCTTCTCTATATTTATATTCATATGATAGGGTCACAAAATCTGTATTTTTGGATATGGAGTAATATAAAGAACTTATAAAGTGTCTGAGAAAAATATGTACCTACTTATATCGTGGAATTTTATAATATGCCAACTATGTGTTAATGACCAAGAAAATTCAATTAATAACTAAGGGTATAAGAAAGGTTTAGGGAGGTTTAGGGAGCTTTAGAAAGATGAGTCTTGGATTAGTATTTGTTGTGTTGAGCTTCGAACAAGGAATTCAGAATCGAATACAAAGCCTAAAAATTAATATAAAAGTTTAAAGTATTTTCAATAAAATGTGTCTAGGTGATTACTAGAATATTTGTTTCGATAACAGATTTCTTTATGATGATTCCTTGAGTACAGAGAGTTTGTGTCATAAAATGAATCGGTGTTAACTTGCCATAAATTTTGTTCAAATTTTTTTTTATCTATTAGTGTAGGATTATAGAATGATATAAATAGTAGTGCATGGTATCGTGCTTTAAAGCAAATTGCTGGCACTTCCCGTACCAAAAATATTTTTTTAAAGAATGTATAAAACATGTTTTTAAATTTAAAATAAAAATTTTTGAGTATTTTGAAATTTTTGAAAAATATTTACTGTTTTGAAATAAATTGACTTTTGAAATTTTTTTTTTATATTTTAAAATCAAAAAAGCAGTCAAAAACTGAATTACAGTTTTTGGCACTTTATGCACCGCATCTTTGAAGCAGCTACGCTGCTTTCTCCACATACTAACCAGCACGTCTCCTTATAGGAGGATAGAAATGTAATGTTTTTGAAGCATTCAAATCGGTTGAACCATATTCCCTAAATGGTCGACAAAAATTTGTATCGGAATACACACAGACACACATACACACACATACATTCATTTTTTTCTAAGGTATGTCAAAATGTTCAGAAACCTCTAAAACGTAAAGATATTTAAAAAATTTCATTTTCAATTTTTTTGCGATTACTGTAACTTACCCTACGCGAAGTTAATAAAATTGTTGACGTAAAAAAATTAAATGTTATGTATATTAAAATAAACAATACAAATAATTACAAATAATAAAAAAAGAAAAATATTTATATTAAAATATTTATTTTTTGGCAAAAGATTATTTTACTAAAAAAAAAATCTAGCAACAACAAAAATGACTTTTTCTTAAGTCTTCATACATTTAGTGAAAACATAATATCATAATGAATGAAAGTAAAAAAAAGGACTGTTTTGCATATGAAGGCCTTGGATTTAAATATTGAGTATGAGATAATGAAGATATAAGCATTTGCTTCAAACAAATTATTATTATTATTAACAAATTTAATAGGATATTGGTTTTATTCTTAGGACTAGTAGAATATATTACGAAAAATTACTAAAACATATATGTGCCGAAAACATACTGCCGAAAATTCTTCTTCAATTTAATTATGATTGCATGAAAAAAAAAGATATATAACAAGTTATTACAGTTATTACTAATAACTTAGTACTTGATTTTTGAAGTAGCAGAAATATATTTTTACAAATGTCCCTACCAAAAATAGTTGTACCACCTCTCATTTATTACAGTTGATAGATTTTGCCAGATCGTCGAGTTTATCAAAT